GGGTTGGAAGAGAGAGCAATAGCAGAGATATTATCACAATGAATTAAAGGAGGAACATGTAATGGGACGTGCAGATCACAGAACAACTGTCTGATCCATGCAAGTTCAGCAGCAGCAATAGCCAAAGCCCTATATTCAGCCTCAGTGGATGAACGAGAGACAGTATGTTGCTTTTTAGAAGCCCAAGAAATAGGAGTAGAGCCTAAGTAAACAATAAATCCCGAAACAGATCTGCGATCATTAGGATCCCCAGCCCAGTCAGCATCACTATAAGCGTGCAGATGAAGAAGACCAGGCTTAAACCAAATGCCAAAAGCAAGAGTTCCTTTCAAATACCGCAGGATTCTCTTAACAGCCACAACATGAGACTCCATGGGATTATGCATAAATTGACAAGCTTGATTCACTGAGAAGGCAATATCTGGCCTTGTGAAAGTGAGGTACTGCAGAGCACCAACAATGCTTCGATACTGCTCTGGATGAGAATAAGGTTTGCCATCATCTTTCAACAGTCTGTGATATGGGAGACAAGGAGTAGGACATGGTTTTGAATCCTGCAAATCAACCCTGTCAAGCAGTTCCTTGATATACTTAGTTTGAGACACAAACAAGCCAGCAGACTGATATGAAATTTGCAGCCCCAGAAAATAAGTCAACTGGCCCAAATCCTTCATATCAAACTCCTGAGTTAAAGCACCAATTACAGATGTAATAAGAGAGGAATTACTGCCAGTAAGAATGATATCATCAACATAAAGAAGCAAAACCACAGTACCAAGCGATGAATGTTGAATAAAGAGAGACGGATCTGCATTTGAAGCTTGAAAACCCAAGCTTGGTAAGAAGCTAGTAAACCTTTCGTTCCAGGCACGAGGAGCCTGTTTTAAACCATACAAGGACTTCTTGAGTCTGCAAACAAAGTCAGAAGGATGATGCTTACTCGCAAAGCCTTGAGGTTGTGTCATATAAACCTCCTCTTGAAGAACCCCATGCAAGAATGCTTTTTTAACATCAAGCTGCCGTAAGGACCACTGAAACTGAGCAGCAAGAGCAAGAATTAATCGAACCGTGGTTGGTTTAACTACCGGACTGAAGGTCTCATAATAATCAATACCCTCCTCTTGACTAAATCCCTTAGCAACCAAGCGAGCCTTATGCCTAGCTATAGAACCATCTGCATTCTTCTTGATCCTATAAACCCATTTACAACCAACAAGATTCTTATGAGCTGGGAGAGGAACCAAATCCCAAGTACCTTGAGCATGAAGAGCCTCAATTTCCTCCCTCATCGCAGATTGCCATTCTGGTGATTGAGAGGCAGCCTTGAAGGAACTTGGCTCAATTGTAGATAAATCAACAGATG